CAATATTTTCTATAAAAAGTAGTTTGTGAGTCTCGTTCCAAAACCGTGTATAGTTGCATGCATGTTCTTTATTTTCCTTTGTCTGTATTAGAAAGAGTGTTTTCCCAGAAAATCCTATATTTTCTGTATATAAAAGAGTCGTGATCTTAAAACCCTAAGACCAGAGTGGTGAAGTCAGTTTACAAAGTAAACGAAACATAGTTTTGTGTTTTGTAAGACTAGTAGAGTGTAAATTCTTCGTAAACCCAATTTAATATAATCCTTCTCTATGTGAGTCGTTACAACCATACTAATATGACTAAAGCGCGCCTGTCTTGACGTTCTTCAGGTGTCGGTTTCTAAAGATATTTGTCACCCTAGACTAGCCCATCTAGCTGTAGCGAACAGCTCAGGTGTGGGGGTATCAACCCTGTATAGATCTATACACAATTACCTCGTTCTCCCTCCAGGAAACTCTGGTTATAACTATAGGACTTATGATGTACGCTAGGTAGGTACGGTGAAGGAGAGTCTCACAAGAGCCTTAACAGATTTACGTGAACTATAACTCCGTTTTACTTGCAAAATAGGATAATTATGCCTTCAAATAATTATGTTTACCCTTGTAAGTGTGGTTTGTAACCTTCAACTATACCAATTTTAGTTTCCTATGTTTGTTTGTCAAGACAATTTATATAATCATATATATATATATATATAATATATATATATATATATATATATATATATACACATATGAGTTAACATGTCTAGATGTTTTAAAAGTATAAATATAAATCATATAAACTTGCATCTAACACAAGTATAAGAGCTTTTAGCATGAAAAAGACCGTTTCTTTTTTTTTTTTGACTTTTCCGTCCTTGTTTTTAGAAAACTTATAGAAAAATCATCGGAAGTCAAAATTAGGATCCGTAAACTCTGAGAGATTGGAAAATGAGTCTACTTTGTTCATAATTTTTATTATAATTTTAAATGGCCTCAAACCAGTGTGAAAAGGTTCATATTTAAAGACTGGTCCGAAATCATTCCTGAAATGATAGGAAGTTTTATAAAAATAACCAAAAATTGTAGAAAAATCGTATGAACGCGTGCGAGTAGTCCTTAGAAAGTTATAAACCTGAAATATTTTCATCTTAAACAGTTTTGAATAATATTAAGTTCAAGGTGGTCAAAACAGTCCGTGAATAGACCTTAACTTTTCTGTTGAAAGCTGATGGTTAAGTTTAGTTTATGTTTTGGGGTTGTAACTTGTATTTCTCTCCCAAAACTTGAAGAAAACATGATAAAAACCTTATTACACCAGTTCTAGTTCTATTTTCAACACTCTACCAAGATATATGCTATTATCCAAAGGTTAAACACAAAACACATAGGTACATGCAAATATCCAATGATTAAACGAGAGTTGACTTGTATCCTCCCCCCGAAAACATGAAAAATACGAAAGATATGAGGTATGAAGCTCACCTTGGGGATTTCGAAATGTAGAGGAAAGTGAAGAAGGATTTCGAGCCTAGCTTGCCTTGTTGAGGATAATCTCAAAAATATGGGTGTTCTAAGGAGTTTGACACACAACAAAGTGTGTAAATTGAAAGTTCTAAGCATATATATGAAGCAAAAACACTTGAATCAAACATGGACCTACCAAGTTTATGATCCTTGAAGAAGACTTCCTTGAAGAACACACTCACACTCACGAATTTTAGAGGAAGTAGATGGGAGAATTCTTGAGTGTTTGAGAGGAAAATGTGTTGAAATGAAGTTGGAAATGAGGGTGGAAGGTGGGAGATAGGCCGAGAGGTAGAGAGAGGAGGGAGGATAGAGGGTTTGACTTATGAAGAGAGTGATAAGAAGTTTGCCTTGATATATGCAAGTTTAGCATGGATACATGGAGAATAACGCTTAGAGGTATGTTGTGTAAGTATGAGGTGTCTACTCCAAGTTATTTCCCTTTTTTTTATTAAACCAACCGGCCTAAGGGGTTCTCGGCGCAATGGTTGGCCTAAAATTATTTGTGGGCTTGATTTGGCTTGGCCCAAGTGAAGATCTTTGGCCCATTGATGCTTAATAGGGGTTTTCGGTTCAAAGAGCCCAATCAAATTGGTTCTCGGTCCAATTAAGGCCCTAGTATGGGTTTTCGGCCCATATAAAGGCTATCTAGAAGCCTTCGGCCCAAAAGGCCCATTAGAGGAGTTTTCGGATAAATATAATGTTTCCTAAAAGTTTTTCGGCCCATTACGGCCCAAAGAGGGGTTTTCGGCCCAACAAGACCAAAAGGAGGAGTTATCGGCCCATTAGAGCCCAATGAAGAAATCTTGGTCCAATAAGGGTTTTGGGCCGAGAAAGCTTGGGCTAAGGCCCCAAGTTGAGTGGAATTGGCTTATTGGGTTGAGTTTCGGGCTTATATGAGGTTGTTTCAACTTGAATGACAATGTATGAAGGTATCAACTTAATAGCATTGAAGTTTGAATTTCACTAGATAAGATGTTGCAAGATTACACAAGGAGATTGTATTGTACAAAAATCAACATTCTTAACCCTAATTTGCTAGTTGTGACAATCAGTGTGTGGTTTTACAAAGTGAATCATCAAGTTCCAAAAAGAAGACTTGTGGAATAGAAGTAAGATGTCTCAGTCACGCTGAGGTGAAATCAGCATGAATCAGTGACATTGATAACCCATTAGCAAGAAGTGGTTTAATCCTTGTATCATAGAGTTAGTTGCAGTCTAGAATCAAAGATTCTCCGTTAATTTGTAATTGTACGATGTCTACCTCAAACTAGGAGGTCAAGGACATGAATAACCCTTTGTCATTTAAGGACCTGACAAGTATCTCTTACGCTGATGACTTTGTAATCAGGGTAAGCCATTGGGTTATGTTCAGTGTTTCAGTAGAACATGAGACTTGATGCGTATGGCATGCATGCTTCGAGGGACAGGGTCAGGTAAAAATGACTAACTTAAAAATAATAAACACCCTAGCCTTTTTATTAATATTTTTTTATTTGGACCAAGCTATCTCATTTTGAGAGTTTAGACCGTGCTAAACAATCAGCATGAGAGGGTGACTCAATGTTCTTAGCAGATGGTCTCGTTGATGAAAGACTTAGAGAGATTTAGTCACATACAACAACATACTTCTAGGGACAATGATATGTCAAAAGTTGCATACTAGGCTCAAAATTGCCACCGTCAGATTCCTTAAAAAACAGTACGAAATGAGAATAAACAATATAAGAATACAAAGAAAAGAATAAGTCAAACAAGAAAATAGTTTAAACAGAAAAATGTGCAGCTTTTCAGGAAAGTGATAAAGACTTGATCCATCAAATCTTTGGAGTTGAATGGTTATTAATGCACTTCCATTTTTCGATATATCTACCATTTGAATTTTCAGTTATAAAAGATAAAAAACAAGATCAAGCATATCTCATACAAATATCAAAAATCTTAGAAGACAAAGAGAGAGAATGCCTTTAATCGATGGATTCTACAGATTGATTCCAAGGTTCATGTTTACCAAGAACAAAAGAAGAACATGAACCAGTCTTTGTAACCAACGAGTAAAAGGGATCCAAACTTTGTAACCTTCGAGTTATAAGAGTCACTAAGACAACACTAGAAGGTTCCATTCATTATGATCCCTAAAGGAAAAGAAGGTGGGATGGCTGTCTCCTTGAAGGCGTCTTTGGATCTTTGAGGGGATGAAGTAGCAATGGCAACGTCTATGAAAATTAGTGGTGCCATGTCAGCTAACTTTACTTCATCATATTTCAACTGAAATAAGCGGTTCAAGACAGATGAGATATATGTCCATAAGAACATCCTTTGGAACATTTATCCCCCATCTGTTCTTATCAACATGAGCATCAGTGTCAGTGTGAGAGCTGTTGGTGCTGAAGAAAAGATGCAGAGTCAGCGTCAATGGGCTTTCAGAAGAGGAGTGATGCATTCAAGGAATGACACACCGATTCCTTCAAGGTAGATCAGTCAGATAAGGTCACTATTGATAGAGAAGATTATGTAGGAAATGTTAATAGATAAATAAAATATATTCATAATGTATACTTCTTTGGTAAGGAATAAAGAAAAAATAAATGCATACCAACCAAAATAACTTAAAAATATAACAGCTTATGTTTAAAGTTTTCAAAATAGCAAAGCAAAAAAAAAAATAAATAAATAAAAAAAAACAAAATTTAAGAATTGGCGTCAAAATCAACAAATCAAACCATATAAATATTGTTCTCTCTGAGAGCAGAAAGCATGATTTTGTTTTCAGAATCAAACACTTTTCCCTCAGGACAGTTGAAAAGAACTTTGTAACCAGCGTCACAAAGTTGATTGATGGAGATGAAGTTGCCTTTTAGTCCTTCTACATAGAATACGTCCTTCAGCTCAATCGACCTACACTCAAAACACTACTAGAAAACAGCCTTTTACGACGCACAAATGTGTGTCAAGGAAGACCCTGTCATAACGACAGACGAAACGCTTTTGCGCATCGTCTATAGACGACGCGCATTTACGACGCATAATTACGACACACATTTACGACGCTCATTTACGACACGCAAAGCGTATCAAGGAAGGCTCTGTCATAAAGGAAGACGACACGCATTTGCGTGTCGTAACCTTACGACACACGTTTAGGACACGCATTGCGTATCATTATAGCCCCTGTCATAAATGAAGATGACACGCATTTGCGTGTCATAAACTTCAGCAACCATTTACAATATGCATATACGACGTGCCTTTACGATACTCTTTTACACATAATACAAAAATATAGAAAAAAATATATACCAAAACAATCAATTTCATCCAATAACATCATTTCAAAAATTGTAATACATTGATATTAAAGGGATCTGATTGTACATTGTTATTAAGAGGTTTTCCCTAACTATATAACCTAATACTACATTGCTATAAAGGGGCACCTTCTTGTTTCAGTAACTCATCATTAAGCTGCCTAGAGAAGCTCTGAAACCCTTCATGTATCCAACCAATCATCATGTCTCTTAGCTTCAATATCAATCCCAACTCTTGATAAAAAAACAACACGAAAATCCTACACAATAATCATGTCAGTTGTACAATATCAATATCAACTAATTAATAATACACATGGTATGTATGAGAGTGGAATCAAAATGATCTACCAATAAGAGTTTTATACTGTCTTGAATCAAAATATTTTTGGTGGCCTCAAGGGCAGCTCCCAAAGGATACTCCTTACCTGTGCCATCTTCCTTTTGAATTTGTAGGAGAGTGTCTGGCTGCTCAAATCAGAAAAGAAAACCAACCAAACCATTACATTGCTGTGATTTGCATTTATCCCTACAATTTAACTTTAATGACATTAAAAAAATATGCATGAAATAAGTTATTATTTCACCTGATCAACCATCAGACCACTGTGCTGTCTCACTTTGTCATCCACTTCCTGAGCTGCAGCCTTCCTCAAATTGCTTATTGACTTACAGGCGACAAGAAGAGGGTACATAAGAGCCTGAAATGGATTTTGAAACAGGTAAGTCTACATGGTGTTTTATGTTCTAAAAGGGTAAAAAAGGAAAAACAGAAACTAGGGGAAGAAAATGCCATCTCTAAACTGCGAACAAGGGATTCTTGACTAGAATCATGGAGTTGTGACCAACAGCTAACAAATCCTGCTGCAAACAGCTCTCATCCAACAAATGGCTGCAAAAAGAAACTAGGGTTACAATCAATTTCTAGAGCTGGAGAAGGTGACTTCTTAAGTAATTCAATGCTGAAATGTCTCATCCACTCTGCCCAATCTTCTTTAGTGCTACGTTGAGAAGCTTCTCCAGCAGCACGCAATCTAGCATCATTAACCTGTTGGAAAAAGTAAAACCATGAATATATATATATATATATATATATATATAAAATATTTTTTAATACTTGGTGAACTTTGGGTTGTTTGTGAACATCTTCATAAGGATCATTCTCCATATCACTCAAAGGATCACTAATAATCTCCACAGGAGGCTGTCGGATTGAATTTTGTGCTGTTACACTAGAAACAATTAAAGAATATCAAACACCTGGTCTTCCATCTCCTGTACACCTCATGCAGCAGTTTTCAGTTTTCAGAATCAAGAATTACTATAATGCCACTGAAGAAGAATAACAGTTATACCTCCTTTGGCATAGAAGACAACAAGGATGAGAGAAGTAACCAGCCAGCTTCTTTTTCAACTGTAGCAACCACATGGTTCTGGCTAGCTTCCGTTAGCATTTTTCTAGCTACATCAAGCATTGTTCTGGGCAATCTAAACACAAAAATAAATAAAAAGTTAAAAACCACTGTCTATTTACCACTTCAGCATCATAAATATGAAGAAAATTGAAAGTGTTACCTGGCTGGATAACCAAGAGGTAGCTTTGGGGAGACAGATGCAAGTGCAACTAAAACTGTAGCTTGTTCACTTAAGGAATCAAGCTCAACCTTCAGATTGTTTCCCTGTATACCATTTTAAGAAAACAATATACAAACAAGTGAAGTAACTGGATTCTAATCTTCCTTCGAAGAAAAAAAACTAGGTCTTTGATGTAATACCATCCCAAACGACACATTTTCTCTTAGTGCCTTCAACTAAAAAAAAGATAACAAAAACATCATAATATCTTACAAGAGGTGAAGAGTTGGACAATGCTGCTACTGCTGTGTCATCAAGAACCTCCTTGCAATTTAATTCAACAGGAACCTGAAAATGAACAGAGAAATTGAAAGTGATGTCATAATAAATTATTAAAAACAGAGGATACACCATACCTCTCCTAAAGTTTTCAGGGTATATGACAAAGTGCGTAAAGCAGCAATTTTCATTGATGGACTTGCATCAGGGGACTGAAGCTGTAACAGAGAAATCATGCCAAGTCATTGGAACTAATGGAATCAAGAAATATAATAACTTGAGTGAGATCAGATATGCGAAATGAGAATTTCTAGCAAACCTTGTCACACCCCGAAACCTGAACGGCGGAAACATTCGGGGGCGGAGGACGTCATGTACAGTATCATAACAAATGTAAAATAGTAATCAAAGCAAAAACAACCATTGTATTGATAATATAGTGTTTACATTGAGTACATAAAGTAGATAGTGTGATTTCAAAAGTAGATGACCAAAACAAAGACTTGAAGCTACTATGCTCCATCTTCTTGACATTTGTACGAGTACCTGCTTATTAGTTTCCTGAGAATACAAGTGATTTGGAAAGTGTATCAACATTTAAGTTGGTGAGTTCATAAGTATTTGATTTAGAAGGTAAGTTTATTGTTTCTTGAAAATGTTCGTATGATATTACAAAAAATCCTATATTTTCTTAATAGCTTGAAGTGTAGCCCTTAGCATTAATAACAGAATATATTTGATTCTTACGTTTAAAGAGTGATATATGATACTTTGAATTTGTATATGAAAAGTGACCAATGTTATTTCCTACCATGATTACTTATTGCATATAAGTTATATAAAATCAAAGATCGAACTGACAGTCGAATGAGTAGATCTGCCCTAAGCCCACAACCAAACAAGGAACAGGAAATGAGGCGGAAACCACACATTCCACTATCTATCGAATCTTCATTTTATATAACCCAAACATACCCACTAAGTGATCACATCAATTTGAAAATACTTGTATATGTCTCCTGAAAATCCGAAATTTTCAAATGAAAAGAGTTATGATTCGTTGTGTTGAAAATGAATGTATTAGATCCAGAAAATCCCATATTTTCCCTAATAGATGAGTTATGATTCGTTGTGTTGAAAATAAATGTATTAGATCCAGAAAATCCCATATTTTCCCTAATAGATGAGAGGCAGTCTTAAATGACCAAGACCGTGATATGTAAGTAACTATGACATACTTAGCTTTATAACTTGGTAGTTTTATTATTAAGTAAAACTAGTTAAAGTTGCGTTTACTGAATTTTGAATGTGCTGATAATACCCTATCATGATTACTTAGTACCTACAAGTTATATATGCCTAAGACTGGAACCAACAGTCGATTGGGTGATTCTGCCCTAAATCCACAACCAAACAAGGAACAGGAAATGAAGTTGAAATCATACATCCCACTGTTTATCGAATGAAAACCATATATAACCCTGATGTAAATACGAAGTGATCATATAGTTATTATTCCCCAAACTTGATTGAGTTGAGTATTACTACGTGTATGAGTCATTGTTTCCGCGTCGCGAGTTCCTATAACCATGCTAATATGACGGATATCCTTACTGTAAATGACATTTGTAACCCCTGAACGTTCGTTCCAACTGTAGCTAACAGTCAGCGAACGGGATTGTCTGTTCTGTATAGATCTATACACAAACTCACGCTCTCCAAACGGGAGACTCTAGTTATAAGGGAAAGACTCTCGTTTAATACTAAACAAAGCCCCTGTCTCACAAATGATTCGCTAACAATAAGTTCATGAGAAATATATGATAAACCTTTTAGTAAATAAAAATAACGATTTTTATTTATAACCTTGTACGATAGAAAAAGTGGATTGATTTGTAAAGGATAATCAATATAATTTATATGATTTTGTATGAAAAGATTATCCTTTCGACGGTGTTAATAACAGCATAATGATGAGTTATATTTACTTGTAACTACATGGTGTTATAGTTGAAATGGTTAGCCTTGATATAATGTAGTATGCAGTATAAATAAAATGTATTTCATTTATAAAACATATTGTATCCCATAAGGGTAAAGTTGTGTTGTGAGGTGTTTTGCATGTTAACAATTTCATAAAATAGTTATAAAAGCAACATGAAAGGTATAGCAAAAGATTGATGTTTTCACTCGAGATTAACCGGGTGTTTACTTGTATTCCCCCCTATAAAACATATAAAAAGTTTAGAAAAGTGTAGGGGTATGAACTCACCTGATAGAAGTGGTGAGTTGAAGAAGGCGAGACTAAACTCGGGCAGTACTTCGACTGGAAAGAAGCAAGTTCCTCGGGAACTTCGGGACTTCGAGCCTTGCGTCGTGTGCTAGGGTTGTTATCGGTGCTTCGGGGTGGTCTCGGGATGCTTAACACAGAGTAGAAGTGGGAGAGAGGATAGGAATGAGCAGCCAAACTCGAAAGGCTTCAATTTCAATATATAGGCTAAAAATCGAAGTTCACGTCGTGAGTTTTGCCAATTCACGTCGTGAGTTTGTCCCGATTCGCTCATGGCATGCGTCATTTTTCAAGTGGCTCTGAAATGGTCAGTCAGACTGTTCACGTCGTGAACTTTAGTGTTCACGTCGTGAACTCTGACAATTCTGACACAGCGTCGAAACTCGTGCCTCGAATTTCACAAATTTATATCTTTTGCATACGAGCTCCGTTTTCGATATTTTTTATATCCACGCGTTGGTGAGATTATGCTCTACAACTCTCGTTTAGACTTCGTTGGCTAAATTTGAGTTTATTTTTAATATTACATTTTTAACAGGCCGGGACAGGAAAAGTCCGTTAAAAATCCATAAGTTCTACATCCGATGCCGGTTTTCATCAGTCTTTTTACCGTTGCAATACCATTGATGAGATCTTCGATTCTCGTTTAGGTCATGTTGGCAAAAAGTCGCTCGATCTCGATCTTGAGTTTTTAGATGTCTACTGCTATGTCCGAAACTTCGAAAAATCATAATTTCCTCATATGAAGTCAGATTTGGGAGTTCTTTTTATGTATGTTTACGGTTTTGGGATATCTACAACTTTCATTTAGATACCTAAGGTTGAAAAGTATTTTATTGAAATTTCGTATTTTACCCTTAACTGTACTTTACCAGTTTTGTTGCGGATCTTCGATTTGTCATAACTTCTTCGTTATAACTCGAATTTCAGTGTTCTTTATATTTTTGGAAACCTAGTTATGATCTCTACCAATTTATTTATCCCAATTAAGGTTATTGAACAATTTATTTTTGACCTAAATTTGACTGGTGTTACATTATCCCCCCGTTAGAGGGAATTTCGTCCTGAAATTCGCATTTTGAATGGGTCATGGATGGATGAGGAAAGGTGAGCGTACTTATGATTCATTAGTTCTTCATGTTCTCTAGTGAATCCAACTCTTAGCGTGGGTGTTCCAGCGGATCTTCATTATCATGTCTATTGTTTTGATCGACATAGATTGTGTGGATTTGGGTTTATTTGCCTGGTCCATCTATCGGCCCCCTGAAGTATAAAGGTCGTATATGTACTTTGTAGTGATAGGGTAACTGTATTCATTCCTAGCCTTTATGCTTGGACTTGACTCGTTGCACTCGTGCTATTCCTAAATGGTCTGGCGGTAATACTTCGGGAAGGTTTCAAAAGATATAGCCCTCTTCACAAGAGTACTTCGGGATTTTTTTAAAACTAGAAACGATTTGGGAGTTGTGTCAGGTTTGTCGTTATAAATTGAAGGAGTTTCGTTAGTCGGCGGTTAAAGCGAAGGATCTTTTCGTAGCACATGCAATTGGTATGGTGAGGACTAGACTAATCCATGTCAAATGACGATGTCGGAACTTCTTATCGTAACAGGTGTTAAGATGATTAGGAAAAAGTGTTCGTTAACACGATAATGCATTCTACGTATGTGTTTTCAGTGCATTTTAGTTTATCCTTGTTATTACTACTGCGAAAATTGTACTTCGTTTAGCGATTGTTTGGACGTGAAAGTAATTTATAACTACTTTTTATTTGGTACTAGATTTTAGTAAAAAGTTAAGCTTTATATATATTTTACTGGGAAAAGCATACCGTTGTTCATAGGGGTTCCGGCGTAGTCTCTCCTGCGGTGATCATTAGTATTCTTCCATCTCCGCCAGAGTTCCTTGTTATTGGATAATCCCTCTGGAAGTGTCCAGTTTCGCCACACCTGTAACAGCCAGGAATCTGCGAGATAGGTTGTGCCGCTACTCTACAAAAATGAGTAGTGTGTCCCTTCCTATTGCAGTTCTTGCAATGCATCCTCCGACAAGCTCCTGTGTGATGATAGTTACACTTATTGCATTTCGGAAGGTTCCCAGCATATCGACTAGTAGGTGCTGGATTGGCAGATGTTGTGGTGGCATGAACAGCCACTATCTGTTGTCTTTTCGAGGCTTCTTGTGTTTGTGGTCCCTCTTCCTCATTCCACGACTTCCGCTTATAGTCGTCTATTTTTGTTAGCCCAGGAGTGGGGGTCATCACGCCTTGGCGGACATCATGGTCGATGAGTCTCTGGGCGAAGTGTTTAGCGATATCGAAAGTAGTTGGGTTTGAAGCTAATACATGTCCTTGAATCTGAGGAGATAGTCCCCAAATGTATCTCTCTACTTTCTTGTTTTCCGGGGTAACCATCTCGGGGCATAGTGCTGCTAGATCACTGAATCTATCAGTATAGGCCACTATATCAGAGCCTGTCATAGTAAGGTTCCACAGTTCTTGCTCTAGCTTCTGTATCTCGCCCCTTGGGCAGTACTCTTCTATCATCATTGCTTTCAGGCTTTCCCAGCCTATTGAATTTGCCATTGTGAGTGTTAGTGACTTGACATGGCTATTCCACCATGTAAGGGCCCTGTCTGAGAAGGTGCAGGCAGCAAACTTAACTTTGCTTCCTTCCGGGCAGGTGCATATCTCGAATACCGATTCTGATTTTTCAAACCATTGCATCAGAGTAATGATTCCCCTGCTTCCACTAAAGGATTTAGGTTTGCAGTTCATGAAGTCTTTGTATGTACACTCCCTAGAGTGTTCGTGGCTATTTCCGAAGTTAAAGTTGTTAGTACCACTTCCCGCCCTACTGGCACCATTGGCATGAATTTGAGTCATGACAGTTGCTACAACGGCAGTTATGACAGCCTGGAACACAACAGGATCAAATTGTGGTGGAGACGGTGGTGGATTTGTTGACATGTTGCTATTGCGCCTGTTATATCTACGAGGAGGCATCCTTCTGTCAGAAGATGAAAGGTTGGTACGATATCGGAAATGGTTATAAATCGAATGTCATAAGAAGTTGGCTATCTTAGCTTTGAATGCATCATGATTCGAAAGTGTTTTGCAAACAATTCATAACAGAGGTTTATATATAAAATAAACTTATGAATTTTTGATATTGAATATCCTCAATTGAAATTCCGTGATTCGATTTACTGTTATTTGTCATGTCGGAAAAAGGCATTAAGCCTAACATGTAGTGTGAGTAGTGTAATCACTAACTCACTAAGTTATATTTGTTATTAGTATGACGCATCAGGTCCTTGATGATTTCTCTATTTCTTTGATCCTCGTCTGTTCCCTTCTCGAGATTCTCTTTATGAGTCACTTTTTGATCTTCCTTGACTCCTCTGTTGACTGATGTAGTGGAGTGGTTATATCTAACTATGTTGTCGTGCGAGAATGGGGATGTCTAAAGAATATTAATAGTTTTTATGGTGATCCTCATTGGGTCCTCCTATAATTATGCAGTGTACACCAGTTGTATATAATTGAGATTAAATAGACTTTCGATTAAGTCATCCTACTCTAAAACCACAACCAAACAAGGAACAGGTAGTAGAGCGAAGATCACTACTTCTAAGTCTATGAAATCTTAATTATATATAACCTTGGAGCATACACTCCGTAATTATAGACCTGCCAGCAAGGGTCTTTTAGTTTTCACATAAGTTATCTTATTTTTCTTAAAATACTCCTATAGTATTTTTAACTTTAAGTTTGGTTCCTAAGTTTCTTTGTATGAAAAGTTTGGTAAGTTTTAGACCTTGTTGCAACACTACGACCATTCCTAGGCATATGCTAATCACCTCTCGAATAAATATAGTCGATCAGGCTATATTCATCCCAGACCTGATTATATATTCCAAGGCCTACTCGTGCTATTCAACAATCTTAATACTTTTGTTTTGTTTTAATTATGATACTTTCCTTGTATATATGTTCGCGTGTATACTTTTACAAAAATATTTTTATATTTAAAAGTATAACTCTTGGTAAGAGTGTTTTAGTCCCATTGTATTTATAGTTGTATATCTTTTATAAGTTGATATACTTAGTTCACTATAAACAATGCTTTGATATCAATCTGTCACACCCCCAAACCTGAACGGCGGAAACATTCGGGGGCGGAGGACGTCATGTACAGTATCATAACAAATGTAAAATAGTAATCAAAGCAACAACAACCATAATATAGTGTTTACATTGAGTACATAAAGTAGATAGTGTGATTTCAAAAGTAGATGACCAAAACAAAGACTTGAAGCTACTATGCTTCATCTTCTTGACATTTGTACGAGTACCTGCTTATTAGTTTCCTGAGAATACAAGTGATTTGGAAAGTGTATCAACATTTAAGTTGGTGAGTTCATAAGTATTTGATTTAGAAGGTAAGTTTATTGTTTCTTGAAAATGTTCGTATGATATTACAGAAAATCCAATATTTTCTTAATAGCTTGAACTATAGCCCTTAGCATTGATAACATAATATATTTGATTCTTACGTTTAAAGAGTGATATATGATACTTTGAATTTGTATATGAAAAGTGACCAATGTTATTTCCTACCATGATTACTTAGTGCATATAAGTTATATAAAATCAAAGATCGAACTGACAGTCGAATGAGTAGATCTGCCCTAAGCCCACAACCAAACAAGAACAGGAAATGAGGCGGAAACCACACATTCCACTATCTATCGAATCTTCATTTTATATAACCCAAACATACCCACTAAGTGATCACATCAATATGAAAATACTTGTATATGTCTCCTGAAAATCCGAAATTTTCAAATGAAAAGAGTTATGATTCGTTGTGTTGAAAATGAATGTATTAGATCCATAAAATCCCATATTTTCCCTAATAGATGAGTTATGATTCGTTGTGTTGAAAATAAATGTATTAGATCCAGAAAATCCCATATTTTCCCTAATAGATGAGAGGCAGTCTTAAATGACCAAGACCGTGATATGTAAGTAACTATGACATACTTAGCTTTATAACTTGGTAGTTTTATTATTAAGTAAAACTCGTTAAAGTTGCGTTTACTGAATTCTGAATGTGCTGATAATACCCTATCATGATTACTTAGTACCTACAAGTTATATATGCCTAAGACTGGAACCAACAGTCGATTGGGTGATTCTGCCCTAAATCCACAACCAAACAAGGAACAGGAAATGAAGCTGAAATCATACATCCCACTGTTTATCGAATGAAAACCATATATAACCCTGATGTAAATACGAAGTGATCATATAGTTATTATTCCCCGAACTTGATTGAGTTGAGTATTACTACGTGTATGAGTCATTGTTTCCGCGTTGCGAGTTCCTATAACCATGCTAATATGACGGATATCCTTACTGTAAATGACATTTGTAACCCCTGAACTTTCGTTCCAACTGTAGCTAACAGTCAGCGAATGGGATTGTCTGTTCTGTATAGATCTATACACAAACTCACGCTCTCCGAACGGGAGACTCTGGTTATAAGGGAAAGACTCTCGTTTAATACTAAACAAAGCCCCTGTCTCACAAATGATTCGCTAACAATAAGTTCATGAGAAATATATGATAAACCTTTTAGTAAATAAAAATAACGATTTTTATTTATAACCTTGTACGATAGAAAAAGTGGATTCATTTGTAAAGTATAATTAATATAATTTATATGATTTTGTATGAAAAGATTATCCTTTCAACGGTGTTAATAACAGCATAATGATGAGTTATATTTACTTGTAACTACATGGTGGTATAGTTGAAATGGTTAGCCTTGATATAATGTAGTATGCAGTATAAATAAAATGTATTTCATTTATAAAACATATTGTATCCCATAAGGGTAAAGTTGTGTTGTGAGGTGTTTTGCATGTTAACAATTTCATAAAATAGTTATAAAAGCAACATGAAAGGTATAGCAAAAGATTGATGTTTTCACTTGGGATTAACCGGGTGTTTACTTGTATTCCCCCCCTATAAAACATATAAAAAGTTTAGAAAAGTGTAGGGGTATGAACTCACCTGATAGAAGTGGTGAGTTGAAGAAGGCGAGACTAAACTCGGGCAGTACTTCGACTGGAAAGAAGCAAGTTCCTTGGGAACTTCGGGACTTCGAGCCTTGCGTCGTGTGCTAGGGTTGTTATCGGGGCTTCGGGGTGGTCTCGGGATGCTTAACACAAAGTAGAAGTGGGAGAGAGGATAGGAATGAGCAGCCAAACTCGAAAGGCTTCAATTTCTATATATAGGCTAAAAATCGAAGTTCACGTCGTGAGTTTTGCCAATTCACGTCGTGAGTTTGTCCCGATTCACTCATGGCATGCGTCATTTGTCAAGTGGTTCTGAAATGGTCAGTCAGACTGTTCACGTCGTGAACCTTAGTGTTCACGTCGTGAACTCTGACAATTCTGACACAGCGTCGAAACTCGTGCCTCGAACTTCAGAAATACATATCTTTTGCATACGAGCTCCGTTTTCGATGTTTTTTATATCCACCCGTAGGTGAGATTATGCTCTACAACTCTCGTTTAGACTTCGTTGGCTAAATTTGAGTTTATTTTTAATATTACATTTTTAACAGGCCGGGACAGGAAAAGTCCGTTAAAAATCCATAACTTCTTCATCCGATGTCCGTTTTCGTCAGTCTTTTTACCGTTGCAATACCATTGATGAGATCTTCGATTCTCGTTTAGGTGATGTTGGCAAAAAGTCGCTCGATCTTGATTTCGAGTTTTTAGCTGTCTACTGCTATGTCCGAAACTTCGAAAAATCATAACTTCCTCATATGAAGTCGGATTTGGGCGTTCTTTTTATTTATGTTTACGGTTTTGGGATATCTACAACTTTCATTTAGATACCTAAGGTTGAAAAGTATTTTATTGAAATTTCATATTTTACCCTTAACAGTATTTTACCGGTTTTGTTGCGGATCTTCGATTGGTCATAACTTCTTCGTTATAACTCGGATTTCAGTGTTCTTTATATTTTTGGAAACCTAGTTACGATCTCTAGCAATTTATTTATCACAATTAAGGTTATTGAACAATTTATTTTTGACCTAAATTTGACTGGTGTTACAAACCTGCTTTCCTAGATTAACTAAGAAGACCCTTTGTGTAGGTTCAGCCATTTGATCAATCACACCAACCCGTAGAATATAGAAAACGCATGCATTTGAAAACAAAAATAATACATTAGTATGATGATTGATTCTTTAAAAACAAAAATACACATTAAGAAAACAAAGGTAAATCTACAAACTGATAAGGAAATGCCAATGATTGTGCATCTACAACAGATTCTGCACGAAGCATATCCATAATTTGCACAAGATAATTTTGGAGCTCGCTATCTGGATGCATGTACTTAAGTCGTATGCCCTGAAAAACTAAAAAAATGCATTATTCATAAAAGAGCATACGATTCAAAATGTAAAGCATAAAGGTTAAATATTGCAGAAAATATCCTAAAAACTAGCAGCAGAGGCAATTTTACTTGTAAGAAGAACACCCATGACAAGGTTATACCTATTCGTAAATCCTTTGAACGAGGTCCACTTGCTGCAAATATTAATACATCTATCAAAATGTTATATATGCTAAAAAAACTGATGCAATGGAGTTCAAATTTTAACAGAAAGACACCTTTGGTGAAGGGCAATATAAGATGCTTTTGTAAACTCCCCTCAGGATTTTTTGAATTAGCCTGGCCTTTTTTTGGTTGCACCTAGAAGAATGATAAAATGTAAGATGACTATTACAAAAATAAATAAATAAATAAATAAAATGTAGAGTACACATAGAGACATAAATTTGAGAAGAAGATGGTATACCTGCGCTTGAGGGTTCATTACAAGAGCAAGCACAGCTCCCAAAGCTTCTGCAAAGGCATCCCGAACCGATGATACAGGATCTTCAAGAGCCTTATAAGAAAAAAGATTTGTAGTTACCTCATCTTGAGAAGTACACTAGACATCTCCTCACGCTTCTTCTTTGCTCTCTTGTGAGTCCCCAACTTCATCTTTTCCACTTTGAGGGCACGTTTGTCCTTTCCAACCTTGAGAAGCTCAGTGATTCTCTTCTCATAAGGAGAAAATCCAACAACCTCTCTAATAAGGTTTCATCGATGCCTATACATCCGAACAGAACACACTACAAATATGGTGGTGTGAGTGACGACTAGGGTTCTTGAGAGAGAACAAATTATTATTTGAGAAAGCGTGTGAGAATGTCTTTGAAGATATTATGGAGAAAAGAATACGAAAAGAAGCAGGTCAAGGAATAGTGCAAGAACACTGTTGCTAAGATTTGACCTTAGGAACACTTTCTAACATTTTGTAAAATGTTATATTGTATAATACTTCACAAAGGAAAAATCGATAACACCAGCTGAAATCACAGCAGAGATGAAGCAGATGGATGGAAATCAGAAGCCTTTTTTCTTGATTGAGATGATGAAGTCGAGAGATGGAGTAGGGTAGAAGGGAAGTGGACCGGTGAACAAGAGTAAGGGGTGTACTTTGAGGAGTGGAAGAGATGAAAGAGGAAGGCGAAGACGGATATTGGGATGACAGGCGAATGCTCTCGACATCATCGGAAATCTGATTCACATACCTGTTGAAGAAGTAGAGAACGTTGGACCACCGTTCGCCGGAAGTGAAAGGGTAGAACGGCGATGAAAGCACCTGCTATTGACGATGACAAATTGAGAAAACTCAATCAATCATGAGATGAAGGCATCAAGATTGTCGATGATCGTAACCTTGGATCTCTGATTGAGAAGTTGCACAACAGTGTGAGGAGAATGAAAGATGCGTCAAAACGCTTAGGGCAAAGAGGGTAGTGGGCTTTTCTAATTTTTTGTCTTTTCTTTTCCTCCTTGTAACTAAGGAACGCGCGTTCATTAAAATTATAAAGCGACACTTATAGAGGACGCACATTTCAGATACAGCGCCCTCCGTGTTTTTAATTTTTTTTCTTATGACACTAATTTAAGGGCACACAATAATGCGTGACCTAAATCCTTAAATTTTATGAAGAGATGACACTTTTTTAATGTCACTCTCGTTTGTGTAACATAAATCAATGAGTGACGTGGTTTGCGCGTCGTAAAAGGCTGTTTTTCTGGTAGTGAAAGTTTCAAAACATGTAACAACTCTTCCACTATTGTCATCAAACGTCACCATTGGGCCATCTTTCTTTGAAAAATTTGTAAGGAGGTACTTGTAACCGGTCAAGTTTCTAGAGCTTCCACTGTATAGGTACCAATTTTGAACTAGATTTGGACTTGATTCAGTGTCAGCGTGAGAATCATAAGTGTCACATATGTCATCAGAGGAATCATCTACAAGTGTCATGAGACCCTTAATGTTTAGCGCTTCATCTTCAGATGCCTCCTCTTCATTCACCCATTCTTCATGATCCTCCTATTTTGTATTGAAAGCCTTTGGCAGAGAGATATTTTCTTTCTTCATATGAGCCACCAGCTTCTTGTACAAGACTTCATAGTTCTCAGGACTATGGGCTTCTTTCTTCTCCTTGCAATCCCTGGCAAAATGGTCAAGGCTTCCACAATTAAAGCAGTTACATGAGCATTTCTTCTCTGAAGTGGATCTTTTCGCTGACATGCTTCCCTTGAATTGAGCTCTTCTAACCCTGTTTGCTCTGCTTTCTTCATAACGCTTGATGATAAGTGCAACGCTAGCAACAAGCTCATTGGTGATATCTTCAACACTTTGTTCACCCTGATTTTGAATTGTCTGATTCGCTAATGTGCTTTATTTTTTCCTTTCGAGACATCAAGGCAAAAAAACTTTTCCTTGCTCGAGTCCTTCATGATTTCCTTACGATGAGCTTTGGTCTCTTCATAATTTTGCAGATTACCGAACAACGAATTCAGATCCATGGAATCAATCTTCTCACCGTTTCTCAAGGTTGTAGAAAACGCTCGACGTAGGCTCGACGGTGGACCAGGGTCAAGGGATTAATCGGCTAGGCGGGGGGACCATTAATTATTAAAAACATTTTTAAAAATTTAATAAGTTTAACATTAATCCTAAGAATATAACATTATAACATTCAAGAATTTTGAATGAGTTCTAATCCTAAGAGTATAACATTATAACATTCAAGAATTTTGAATGAGAACTCAAGTAACCTAAAATGATCTGTAACTATTGCATTTTATATAACACATGATCAAATTACTAGAATCCAAGCAAACCAAATAGCACATAACAACCAAACTGCAATTTCCTTTGTTCAAGTCAAAGACATGCTTTCAGTTCCTTTTCATGTTCTTCAAGCTGCAATTTCATCTATTCATCATCAATGGAAATCTTTTGAAGCTGCTCATCCACCTTCTTTTGCATCATCTTATCTGCTAATCAAGAACAAAGTTGGGAATTAAGAAAAAGATTCATCATAAACCACTATAAATATTAATATCTAACAAAAGTTCATACCTATTGGCCAAAAAATTAGGACCACCGCTTAATTAGTGTTGCAAAAATCAACTTAACCCTCCTAAGAATCAGTAAATAAAACAAGAAGTGGAGAGTGAAGAACTTAACCTAATTGCGATGGAATGGATAATCGGAAGGAACCCTAGCATCAATCCAAATTTTGTTCTTGCTATTAACAAGAAAAAATCGAAGATATTCATACAGATTTCAACTGTGAATTTCTTGAAATTCAATTTGAGAAATTAACCCCAATATAAAGTCGATTTCCGATACACAACCATTACCTGATATTGTTGTCGACAAGTTTGACGGCGTTGGAGGGTGACGCAGGCAGAAAAAAGGCAGATGCAGAGGTGTTGGGTGTGGCAGTGACCGGTGGGATGCGAAGGAGATACAACGTGCGACGGTGGCCTGCGAAGGAGACGACATCGGCGGTGCTCTGTGAAGTCCCTGTACAACATTGAAGCTTCGTGTTTCTAGTGAAGAAGGAGAGTAGTATATAGGGTGTTCGATGAAGTTGAGATGTATGGAACTGTTAAAAATTTGGCATCCCACATCGCTTGTGGGACAATCGATGATGGCACACATATCTTATAAAAGGAGAGTTGGATCCTTCAAAAAATCAAACCCAACAATGTGGTGAGCTAGCTGGTTCTTTTGAAACGGTGGTTAACTGGACCCATTTGGCCTATTTTGAGTCCGAGTTGGACCGATTTTGTCCGATTTTGACCGAGTTGGACCGGTTTTGACCGATATTGACCAAGGCCGATTTTTCTACCCTCTAACCCTTATTCGTAGGCGGTTGGAGGCCGCCAAGCGTCTAGGCACCGATTAATCGGCCGCCTAGACCGATTTTTACAACACTGCCGTTTCTAAGAACATCAACGTGATGTTCCCAACTCTTCCCAAGAGAATCAAGAAACTTTAGAACAAACTGTGATGAATGCTTAACAATTCCCAGCCAGCGCATATCATTAACCAAACAATTAAACCTATTAAAGGTTTGAGTAAAAGACTCATCTTGTTGAGAAAATAAAATGCTCGTATCTTCGATTAAGATTGTTGATGGTCGTAGCCTGGACTTCCATAGTGCCTTTATAAGCCCACCGTCAGCATGTCCATCATCTCTTGGGCTAATTCATAATTCTGTACGAGATGATACAAATGGTATAGAAGGGAATTTCCAATAGCAGCCCTGGCTTTTAGATCAAGACTGAGCAGTCTTTTGTCATTGCCATCATAACTTGTTACTTGCTTTTACTTCAGAGGGCCAATGAGAGCGTTGTTTGCCATGGGTTGATACATAGGAACATGGGGACCTTTTTCAACAATATTTTTCATCTCATAGTCATTGGTTTTAAGAACCACCATGACCTTGGTTTTCCACATGACGAAGTTGTGTTCATCGAAGGGAGGAATTTTGTTGAGACCAAAGGATTTGGAATTGCTTGAATTCAACATGATAACTTGAGTATATCACAAACCCACTCTGATACCAATTGAAGGTTTGTATTTCATTGGATATACTTCAAGTATGAACAAGAAAAGTAAAACTAATCTAAACGAAATAATCAACAGAAAGTAAATAATACATAAGTTCTCCAAATGATCCTTTCACCAAGAAAAGATGTTTTGTCTTCACCAAAAAGACAGGTTTGTCACAAAGACAATTGACACAATACCACGATCACAACATTAGGGTTTTCCCGAATGTTGTATATATACTAATCTATACATATCAATCCCTTGATTAAAGGTATTGCGTCTAATCTATACTAAGAACTGATCTTATCATAAAGATACAGGATCTTATCTATTTTATATTTATCTATAATAATTGTCTAATATACAAAAAGTTACAATCGAACAACTATACTATAAGCTGACGTTGTTGATGCTGGCGCTGTCGACTCGTAGACGCTAACGATGATGGATCAGCATGTTATGTGTTTGACGCATCAGATCATAAGGTGTGACCTTACACAATTATTATTAGGATTGATGAATACCTATTTTGTCACTTTTAGATTTGTTCTCTTTCAGATATTTGCTTTTTGGAAGAAATATAAACAGATAATTCTAAGCTTTGCCATATATATCTATAGTACATATTTAGAAAAGCAGACTTATATGTTTTGATTTAGGAATTTCACAAACATATATATAATTTATATAATTGTTGGACGATTGGGTGGATTTGTGATATTTTGATCAACAATTTGGTGTGTATATATATATATATATATATATATATATATATATATATATATAATATATATATATATAATATATATATATATATATATATATATATATATATATATACTAATTAACTATGTGGTGTGGTGTCGTTTGAATTGCGGTTCTGTAACTAAAAACCGTAAACCGCACTGCATGATGCGGTTTACAAAAAATAGAAACCATAAACCGTACCGCGGACGTTCAAAACCGCATTTTGCGGTGTGCTGCGGACGATTTATACGGTTTGTGCGGTTTTATGCACACCCCTCCTAAACGGTATAATTAATGGAATGCCGACAATGACAGATCTAGTATGGTGCCAACGGTGGAACCGGCAACACCTAGTTTTTCACGACGTAGTGCAAAATTTTCGATTTTTTTTCTTTTTTCTACTATAAAATGTGTCACCGGCAACACCTATTATGGATCGGCAACACCTATTACGGACCGGCAACACCTACTACAGAATCCTGCGTCCGCCCCTGAATGCCGATATAATAATCCATTAAACTCTAAAGAATACAATGCATTAGAGATGACCTTATTAGTACTAACATCAAAAATGGTTTGAACTAAAAACATCTTAACAAAATTATGAGAAAAAATAGATAAAATTTGCTACGTACATTCAAAACCTGAAATGATTTCAAACAAAACACGTCTTCACAAAATTATTAGAATTAAAAAGCGAAATATTATTGCAAATTGTCTCCATTACAAGAAAAGAAAAACAATCTCCTGTAAATATTAGAAGCCCAAGTTTCGTACCAAGCATTACAAAACGACGACAAGACCAAATTGAAAATAAAAAGAAAAACCTTATTCACTCAGACTTATTTTATTTTATTTGTGGAGATTTGTTTTACTTTATGAAACATGCATTAAGACATTTTCTTGCTTCCGGACAAAGGAGCTTAATTGGTACGCCTACAATTGGTTCTAACCTGACCACTTGAGCCAGTCAAAGGATTAAGGTTTCCCATTTTCACCATTGCATTTGCGAAGTCTGTCGAGAAAGTAGCAGCATTAGAACTGTAGGTCCGCACTTGTGCGTCAGTCGAACCACCATTGAATAACTCTTGGTCCGAATGCAATAGTCCCCTCTGGTTAATCAAATCATTAAAGTATCTATTATCAAAAGATGTAGCTGAAGCATCTAGTGGCGACAGATTATTGTCACCACCACTTGAAGGACAATTTGGCCTCAATGATGTTGCAAATGATGAATTTATGTTGTTTTCATTATACAGACGATTGCGGAATACAGTACACCTTGCTTGACCAATTGTATGAGCTCCTACATAAAGTAAAATAACAAACATGGAAGGTATTAAAATTTTAGAAAACTGTAAAATGTCAGTAGTACCCCTCAAAACCATGCATCACGTGTGCTTTTTACGTTTTAATTAATGAAATGTGAAAATTGTAATGATCGGTTGCATGAAACTTCTTGATAATTTATTAAGTGATCCAAACAATGGGGCTTTAACTGATCGAAGGATCAACAAAAGGACCCACATTTAATTAAGGGTGAAGATTTTGAATCAGTTCAATTCATGAATGTAATTAAGTACTCACCTGAGAGGGCTACCATTTCATTAGTAGTAAAACCTTGGTTTGAAAAGGATGAAATTAGTCCACTCAGACTTGAACCCGGTGAAGGAAGATTAGAATTCGCAGCACTTTGGCTTGCCGTTGTCGAATCCCTTCTACCAAATACAACGTTCCAACTTGGCCCACGAAGCTGAAAATTAACAAAAATAATCAGCATGCCGTAAACTATGGCATTCGAAGTCAAGCCAAATTAATAATCTGGGTTCGTTAGTTTTTCTATATCTGGTTGATCGATGGAGAATTTTTTAACTTACTGCAACAACAGAATCTCGTGCAGCTGCAGAAAGTATATCAGCACAAGAAACAACACCGGGACACAGGCTCTCTAACTGGGTTTTAATAGTATCGATTACGTTGAAACCTCTCAATGAATTGTTATTCGGGCCTGCTGTTTTTTCTCCGGTGAAATTTGCAGTGTCGTCAAGTAACACTGATGCATCACATCCCTGTGTATTTCCGATAGGGAAGTAAAACAAAAAAATAATTTAGTTAAAGCGGCAGAAAAAATAAGGCATTAACATTCGTTTGACATTTTAGGTTAATAAAGCACTGTTAAACGCATTAAAAGCATTCATGCGTGCACATCAAGTCAACAAGTCAACAGGTCATAGTCTGATAACATTAATGACCCGAATTAGCATATATAAAAGCCACGGTTGAGGAAAAAGTCGGCTGGCTGGCGGCCCATCTCATGCATGCAAAACACAAGATTACGTAACAAACAGGCCTAAATATGTTAATTTTTTTTAGCATAAAATCATAAGTTAAATAAATTATCTCCCCCACAATTTCGTAGTCATTAAATTTCACGTATATTTTTAACTCTGCTAAAGCTATGGCAGCTAACTTGCCTCCGACAAACATAATAAAGTATCCCTGATTAGCCAAAGCACATAGTGGAAAGTAAGTAGAGATGGTAAAAGGTTAGATACTTGCATTAACAAAGCAATCGTGGAAATGGAGGCGAAGCAATGAAGCTCCCATTCGAGCTTCACTTGAGACAGCAGAATTCACTGCTCTTGTTATAACAATGCGGAAATTAGGACAAGTTCTAGCATAGAAAGTAGCCGATAACTGACCAGAAGTTGTCCCAAACAAATACAATGAGCATAATGCAAAACTTGAGATCTTGAACAAAGTGTTTGATAAAGCCATGAGTATGACAATTTCAAGAGGCACGAGAAGATGGATAATTATTGTTAAAACGAAGATGTGAATAAGAGAAAGGAGGGTTTATTGTGTTTATGAAGGGTTTAGGCATCATCTATTTATAGCGGGCGGGGGGATTGAAGCACGAGGTGAGTCAAATATCAAACCAATGGTGAGCGTTTTCATAGAAAACTTCTCGAATGCAATATTTAAAGAGTATATATGAATCGTATATACAGTGTTTAATATTTTTATAAACAACATTTGGATATGGATTCAATCAAAATGATCTGTTTAAATAAGGTCTAAACTATATATAATTCAACGATGAGAGTTGAATTTAGCAACATCCTATTGTCAACAATGTCCACTTGGAATTTTCCCTCCACCATCTAAACAAATTATAATAACTGTCATTTATATGATTCAATTTGTTCATAGAACTAGCTCTTCCATAGAATATGAAATGTGTTGTAATCTATATATATAAATTGTTTCATCTTTTCAACTTATGGTGATTAATTGTTGCATTAATTGAAATGGTTGCAGATTAAATTATGTTTGGTTATGAATAACAAAGAAAATAATGAATGATGAAATATGAAATATGAGAAAACTAAAGGTAATGAATATGATAATTAAGGTTTGAAAACCTAAACTAGCCATATTCATCAAATAAATTTTGAAAAAGTTTTTCTGAAACCAAATTAAAATAATTAAGAGTTTCTAAATACATTATTTTAAATAACTTACAGTAACAATAGCTAAAGTAACATTATATACAAAAAATATATTGTTACTTTTAAAAACAAAAACAATGTTTGATGTTTTAAATAATTACAATAATATAAATTAAAATTTTAAGCAAATAAACTTTTTAAAATTAATTAATCATAACAACAAACTATAAATATCATTAAACTATATTTCTATTTAATTTTATTCATGAGTAACATGCAGGTAGAGATCATTGACACAGTTGAGATTATAAAATTTTAAAAGATGTCTACATTATAATATAATTCAAAACAAACAATATTTATACCAACTTATTATAAGATTTATTATATAAGAGCTAACAACACTGTCATTGATATATTTAAAAAACATATATTTGTAAAAATTTCAAATATGTTCTTGTATTCTGCGCAACGCATGAGTATTCGTCTAAATACTTATAAAAGAGGCATTTTTACTTGCACAACATGCATTTGAAACCTCCATGACTTTTCAATTTTCTTTATAATAATTATTATAAATTGGTTAATAATGTTAAATTAATACAAAAACTAAATTCTAATCATAAATTAACTAAACTACAATATTAAAATATCATATTTTATTTCTATTTTTTAAATTATGACTTTAATTTTTTAACATATTATAGTTAACTTATTAGTTTAAATATGTTGTCGTATGTGAGCAATTATCGTTTTAAAGTCACAAGTTTTGTATAATTTATTATTTTATTCAAAATAGTTAATTATTAATTTCAATATAATGTTAACGGTTAACTTAAATCAAAATTTTAGTTAAACTTGAAACAAATCGAGAGACTATTTTATAAATAGTTAAAAGTTATAAATTATAATGTTAAACCTAAATTGTAATCCTAAATTAATAAAAAAAACCATGAAACTATTTTTATAATCGTTAAGAATTTTCAAATAAGTAGATTAAAAATAACTTACAATAAGAATTGTTAAAAATAATATTATATAAAAAATTATAGTGTTATCTTTAAAAACAAAAAAAAAATGTTGTTGTTTTAAATAATTACAATTAAAGAAACTAACAATATTAATCAAATAAATTTAAAAAAGAGTTAAATTTCTGTAACCAAATTAAAATAACTAAGACTTTCAAAATACGTCAATAGTTTCAAGTACACATTATATATAAAAAGTATATTGTTACCTTTAAAAACAAGAACAGTGTTTGATGTTTTAAATAATTATAATCATAGAAATTAAAATTTAAACAAATAAACTTTTAAAATTAATTAATCATAGCAAAAACTATAAATATCATTAAACCCTATATTTTATTTATTTTATTAATGAGTAACACGCATGTAGAGGTCATCGAAACAAGTGAGATTATAGAATTTTAAAAGATTTTTATGTTATCATATAATTCAAAAGAAACAATATTTATACCAACTTAATATATAATTTATTATATAAAAACTAACACCATTGTAATTGATTTATTTAAAAAACATATATTTGAAAATATTTCAAATATATTGTTGTATTCTGCGTAACATGCGGACATTCACCTAGTTTTCATTATAATAGAGTTCATGTTGTTAGCACCATATTTATTTGAAACCTACAAAACTTTTCAACTTATTTAATAACTACTACAACTCAAAAGTATTTTTAACGAATTAAACACTAACTCTCAATACCTTTTAACTTATGGTGTTTATTTGATACTTATGACACTTAATTCATTTGAAACCTATAAAACTTCTCAACTTATTCAATAACTACAACTCAAAGTTATTTTTAACCAATTAAACATTAGAACTCAAGAGTATTTAAATTGTGATGTTTAATTGATACTCCTGACATTTAATTAGTATATATATACATATATATATATATATATATATATATATATATATATATATATATATATATATATATTTCTTATTTTATTTATAATTAACATTTTATAATTTGAACAACTTAATCCATATTTACATAATAAGTGTCAATATCTAAGATTTGGTGTGTCGATATATACTGTTAACACCATTCAAATTTTATCATCCTTAAAATATAACCTTCTATTGCAATCGAACACAAAAAAACGACACATTCCATAATTGTTCCGTCGTAGAATTTCATTTTTTTTACTTCATTATAAAGTAACTTTTAATCATATATTCTTGATAAAATATATCAATATTTGATCTTCACCATGTAACATCCCATTTTTTTCAAGTAGCTTCATATTCATCCCTCGGATTTGAATTATGTCATTTTTGGCCCTTGGCTTGGACGGAAGTGGAAAAAGGAGGCCCTAGTGGCAAAATGGAAGTTTTGGGGTTGAAGTAGTACGTCGGGCGTACATGTGGTACGCTAAGCGTACTAGGGCGCGCCTTAGTACACTGGGCGTACACATGAGTACGCTGGGCGTACATGTGCCAGGAAGGAACCCTAACTTTTAGGGTTTGTGGAGTATTTAAACACTTTATGGACCATTCCCTCTCATCTCATTCAGCCTCCACACCTCCCTTAGCCGTCTTGAGAGAACCCTAGCCTTCTAGTGATCATTCTTGAGCTTTTAAGAATGTTCTTGTGCCTTTAAGAAGAAGCTTGTGCATCAAGGAGCCAAGGAGAGAAGAGTTAGCTTGTAGATCTTGGTTCATCATCTGTTTTGGGAACTCTAGAAGGTATAAAGTTGTTATCTTTGTGCCTATTTCTTCTAGATCTATTCTTGGTAGTTTATTGCACTCTTTTGTCCCATAAAGTCCCATTATAATGCATGGTTCATTTTGGACGATTTGAGCTGTCCTTTCAGGCTTTAGAATGGGTCCTAAGGCATAAAAATGAAGTCCCTTGGGCTAGTTGGGTCCCTAGTTCTTGGTAGGAGGTCTTCATGGATTAAGACCATGTATTGAGCCCTTTTCAGTCGAATAAAGTCTTAAAGTTTGGGACTTTATGGTCCTAGAGCACATTTGAGCAGTAGATCTGAAGTTTAAGCTTAAGTGCTTAACCCATTAAGCACGTATGAAAGTTTTAAGATCTGCGAGGATACGCCCAGCGTACTGGGTCAACCCCCCCCCCCCCCCCCCCCCCCCCCCCCCCCCCCCCCCCCCCCCCCCCCCCGATGGTGGTCAACCTTAGGAGAGTACGCTCAGCATACCAAAGGAGTACGCCCCGCGTATTTCCTCTGTTGGGCTTATGTTATTTGGGCTTCTGGTTTGGGTTGTTTATGGATTAGTTGAACTTGGTCCTTTGCTGGAATTTATGGATGTGGTGTTTTGGGCCAAGTCTCGATAATGGATCTTGGAATTAGGCCTAATTAGGGAGTTGGGCCCAATTTGGTAAATTGGGCCAATAATGGGCCTTACATATGTGGACTTGTGGATCATGGATTTGGTATTGGGCCTTGACCCAAATTATAGAAAAGACAAAATGGACTATATGGACCCCCCTAGTCAGAACTGATAGCCCATATGTTGACTCAGCATTCGTTATTTTGGATAGTTTGGGATTTTCGGTAAGACAGCACTTCGGGAGTCGATACTTCAGTTCAGACCGACATTGCGAGGTGAGTTATTCTCGCTATCTCAACAGGGTCTAAGGCACCAAGGCCGACCCTTTATCAGATTTGAATCCGGGTATTTGCTTGATATGTTATTGATCTGCTAGATCTGCATCCTGGTAGTTAGGATGGTATTATGTTAGCGACCTGGTTTAGGTCGGTATCGTGGTATATAGAATGATGCTATGTTAGTTACCGGTTAGGTCGGTATCCTGGTAATAGGATGGTTGTTGTGATAGTGATATGTTAGATCGGTATGATTATCTATTATATACATCCTAGCGTATGATATTTATGTGCACATGATTGTTTGATTGGTATGGGGGTTGGGTTGAGGCGGGTCCTGCTTCGTGCTGTAGGCCAACATACCCAGTGCGGACCAGATAGACTGCAGGTCCAGGAGGGCACATAGTCAGGCCGAAGGCCCGACGAGCGGTCCGGATAGGCTGAAGCCCCTCGAGAGGGCGGTGCAGACGTGCCGAGGCTCGGAGAGTGGGCCATATAGACTGAAGGCCCGGTGCGGGCGGTCCAGTCATACTGTAGACTCAGAGAGTGGACCAGGTGGACTGAAGGCCCGGTGTGGGCGGACCAGTCACACTGTAGACTCGAGATGCATAGTTGTTCTGTGTTTGTTATATGATATGTTTATGGTTGTATGAGGTTGGTATTTTGGGGGTAACTCACTAAGCCTTCGAGCTTACATTTATCAGTTATTATTTCAGGTA